AATTTATAACAATTAGGACTAACAATATGGGAACTATAGTGGAACTAGCAATAACTCTAGTAGAACTAATAAAATAGCGATTAGAACTGACAAATAAAACATTAGAACTTTAGTATGGAGCATAACAAAGAACTGCTTAATGACAAATAAAACATTAGAACTGAAGTCCAATTAAACCTAGTATAGAACTAACAAGAAGACGATTAGAACTTAAGTTAATTGATTTTACAGTTAACCTACATGTCTTGTCGGACTTGCTCGTTTTCCTGTTTATTCGAAGAATCATCTCCTTCTTTAAAAGCTTGCACGTGAACCTCTTTCAGTCCAAGATTGTGGCAATGCTCCACCATAGACGTCAGATCACCATCGTTCTCAATGAGAAATTTTAAGCTTCCAACTGTTTGATCTTCGTATGCCAAAATTAATGACTCGTATGGAAGATCTAACCTCTCTGCCACATCAAACTTGAGATCCAAGATGGTGGTTGAAGAATTAATCTTCAAGAATACCGCTTTATACTGCGAAAAGACAATACAGATGATGTTCTTTTCAGCCATTTTGATCTGAGGAGGAGTAATGGAGAACTAACTAGTTATTGCTCATGATGGAGAGAGTTATGGAAAGAATTTTGGTCTGAGGAGGAGGAGTAATGGAGAACTAACTAGTTAGATGGAGTAAAAAAAGGGGGAAATTTCCCTCCATTTTCACCATCATATCGCATTAATGAGAAGTGACTTCCAGGACTCGTCTGGGGAAGAAAGAGAAGGGCAGTTTCGGTTTTTTTGTAAAATACCATCTGCTTTTAGTATAAAGCTGACGTGGAGGGGGCTTAAAACATTAAAGCCCATTTTTTTGGGCTATTCCACATGGGGCAAAGTACAGGGGGCTAGTCACACGAAATTCCCACTTTTGGGACCTGGACACATTTTTCCCTTTGTAATGACCGTAAAATTTTGATACTGGTTAAAATAATTTTTTGGTATTTTAACATATTTAATTATTATTTTTAAAGGAGTATGTGAGATCTCCCACCAATCCCTGCCTCTCTCTCTCCTGTCTCCCTCACTCTCTCTCCAATCATCTCTCTTTGTATCTCTTCGTCTCATTCTCTCTCTTCATCTCAATCTCTCTCTGTTACTCTCACACTCTCTCTCACACTCTCACTCACGTCCTCCCCCTCTATATATTTCTCTCGAAGAATTTTTCAAAACAGACCCATTTCAATTTTTTTTTCTTAAAACCGACCCGTTTTTTTTATTTATCAAAACCGACCCGATTTTGTAATTAGCAGCTTAATCACTATCCTAAACAGTCGGGGTTGGCAACCCCGACTATTTAGGAAGGTGTTAAACCCTAATTAGAAGCCTTAAACCCTAAAAATTAAGGTCCTAAATAGTCGGGGTTGTCAACCCCGACTGTTTAGGAAGGTGATTAAGCTGTTAATTACAAAATCGGGTCAGTTTTGATAAATAAAAAAAAACGGGTCGGTTTTAAGAAAAAAAAATTGGAGTGGGTCTGTTTTGAAAAATTCTTCTATTTCTCTCCCTCTTCCTCAAAACCCGCAACACCATCCCCTCCATCTCACTCTCTTCTCTATCTCTCAGACTCTCAGTTCACACACTCTCTTCACCCTCTCTCTCTCCCTCTTCAAGAAACCCAAGAGAACCTCACAGAAAACCCATCTCCTCCCTCACTCGTTCTATCTTCATCTCTCTCCCCATTTCTCCAAAGAGAACCGCCTCCTCTACCCGCACCGACCCTCGCCGCTTCGTCCTCGTTTCCGCCCCCTCCAGCTCTCCTTGAGATCCGACCAACTCTGACGAACAGCCCCCTTGAATCCCCCATGCTGCTGCCTTCCTCCTCCTCTCCTACCCCGCGCGGAGCCTTTGACGAACAGCCCCCTTGAATCCCCCATGCTGCTGCCTTCCTCCTCCTCTCCTACCCCGCGCGGAGCCTTCCAGTCACCGCACCACCCCCTCACGCCGCCCTGCTTCCCGCGGTGATCCCTCTCCTCTTCCCGGTGCTGCCTCGCATCCACCAGCAGCGAGCAGCGGCGAAAACTGCCGTTGCCGCTTCGCCTAGCTGCCGGCAAGACCACGGAGCCCCGCCGGATCCCCGTCAGCCCCGTCGGAGCCCACCGAGACTCTCCCGACAACTCCCGGCAACCTCCTCCCACCTCCGGCAAGCCCGAACAGCGAGGAAAGCTCCGAGCAGCAAGAAACGTGCCTGAACAGCGACCAAACGCGAAGAACTGCACTGCAGATTTCTGCAGTTTTGTGTCGACTTCCCGCGTACTTTCCGATCATCTCCGACCTCCATTTCGGTCGATTTCTTCTCCGGTTAGTAGCCCTACATGTTGCCTATCATCTCCAATTTGTATCACGCTCTAACTCATTCTCCATCTCTCTCGGTATCGTCCGAAACATCGATTGACGACAAGCAGTTCGCTGAAATCAGCAGCGCTGTGCCGACTTCGCACGCGTTTTCCGGCCACCTCCGGTCTCCGTTTCCACCACCGTATTCGCCGGTGCGTAGCCCTTCGTGTTGTCTATCACACAGTATATTCCTTTCACTTGGGCACTTTATCTACACCTCGTTATATCGCTTCGAATATCGCTAATCGTTACTAATACCTCTCTTTTGTATTCTAACCAATTGACTTTCCGTTGATACCGCAAAACCCGTCGTAACGCTGTGCAACCACCCGACGACCCCGCTGCAGTTGACGACATTCGTAGGCAAGATCCCGATACTCCTTTGACTTGATATTCAATTCTTAGACCGCTCTGAATTAATTAGCTGCTTGCAAGATCCCTATTCTTGCTCAGTACAATTTTAGTTTGATCACAGATTAATTATGCATATGAACTCGTTACCCGAATAATTATTCGTTACAAATACGGAACTGTCGTGAACATATTGGACTGAGAACTATAACGTATAGAACTGTCGTGAACGAAACGGACTGTGGACAATAACGTATGACCATTCACATTGTAATACATATACTGTGATGACCTGTACGGATTTATTTGACGAATGATACTAAAAATAATATTTTGAATATAGATACTATAAAGATAAAAATAAGATAAAATTATTTTAGATTAATTTATGATTTTTAAAGGATTTATTTGACAAAATAATCATTTTAAGATAATTATAATAATTATGTTGGTGAAAAATCATTTTTAGAGTAATTATAATAAATTAATAGAGTTGATTTGATAAAAGAATTATTTTAGAATAATTATAATTTAAAAGAATTTATTTTAGAATAAGTATCAATTTAGAATAATTTCAGTAATTTAAGAAAGTTTTATAAAAAGAATTATTTTAGGACATTTATAAATATTTTTAAAAAGATTTATTTTAGAAAAAGGATTATTATGAATTTTTCAAGTTGGGATGGAGAAAGTCATGGTTCATGTGATCGGATAAGACTGTTGATGTATCTTTCAGGCTCGCACCAGTGAACCGTTTCGCACTGGGGTTAGTTTGTTGTGCCAAGTGAACCGTTTCGCACTTGGTCAGTGAAATCGTTTCGTTGTTGATTTATCTTCCAGACTCGCACCAGTTAGGTTTGTTTCGAACTGGGGTTGGTTTGATGGGCCACGGTGAAGGTTTGTTGCGTCACTTTGGTTCGTGAATGTGATATTCACCCGGGTCGGCTTGAGTTCGAACCAGGCCGAATCGGTTTGCGTGGAGTCCTATTGGAAGCACGTAGGGGATTTGTTAACCAGATATCCGATAATATGAACTTTGACTCTGTGTGTGACGTGAACCAGTGACCTGTTATAGGATGGCTAGCTACATGACTCGTTTCTTGGATGAGTACGAGTTCTTGTGAGATACAGACCAGATATGTTTTATTTTCATACCTAGATCGGGGTTAATATTTAATTATCTATAATTCGAGACATATGGTATATACATGAGGGTTTCCTTGTTTGGATTATTTCGCTCGACGTACTACGTCTCTTGTTGTAGATTTTTAAGTATTAATTCCATCTAGTATGATCTTGTTACTTGGATGATTAATCTGATCGCTAGTTGCATGATCGACTTGTTACTTGGTTGAATCATGATAGGATTTATTATGATTATTCTATTCTAGTAGTAAATTATATTTAGATTATTAGTATTTCAGTTGTATGTTTCTATTGTTATTACCATTATTGCATTGGTCGCACGATCGTTCTATTCTTCCTTTTGGGATTTTGTCGTGCACCATGCACCTGACGTACACCTGTTTTCTCTGGTGTACGTCAGATTTAGAGGACGGACAGGTTCAGTTCGGAGTCGTACAGGAGCCAGAGGATCCCCCGCAGGAGTATTCTGAAGACCGAGCAGAAGAAGCCGAAGCCTAGTCATTTCTTTTATCAGCTGTTAGTCCTTAGTTTACTTTTCTAGCATTCCTATTTCCGCCTGATCGTTGTATTTTATATTCTCCAGTATTTCATTCAGATAGTTTGTATAAGGGCATGTTTGGCCCGAATATTATGTCTAGATGATCATTTCAGTTGTGATATGTATCTTTTGGTTCTGAGTTGTTTATTATATATATTCTCATTACTGTGATCGGGGACCTGTGCCTTCGTTTGTATTTCTTGACGCTTAGCGTATTAGATTGAGAAGACGGGGTTTAGCACTTATCTCTTCTCAGTTTAATACGTTGCGGGCTTGCTCGCGTCCCGATTCCCTGGTATTTTGGGAAGCGGGGCGTGACACCCTTAAAAAAATTAATCATAGTGCAATAAAATAATTTTTAATAATTATATATAATTTATTAAATAATATAATATTAATACAACAACGTATGCACGTTCATTATACTAGTTGTCATAAAATGTGCTTCATGAATAGAAGTAAGAAAGTCATTGGACAATAGTGACCCGTGTCAGGTGGGGCCACCAAACTTCAGCTTAAGACAAAATCTGTTTTTGTCCCGTTAAAAAAGTATTCTCACCAATTACAACATGACAGAATAACGAGGTTCTCTGGTAAAATATATCTTGCTTGAATCTAACAGTTCTGTTATCAAAATAAATTCCCATGGCACATCCCACCTTAACCCACAAAAGAAAGTTGGATAAAATATTTAAATGATGCACCGTTGCATCTCCAATCAAGATTCAAAATTCATTCTATAACTCAATCCATACTCAATTTCTAAGGCAAGTAACAAAACCCCATATACTCTCCCTCATCCAAGTCGCTATTGATGAAGATACTTGCAGCTCTCTCCGTAAAAGCAACTTCCTTGATGATAATACCGACACAATTGTCTTGGCTGTGCCCAATTTTGCTGTCTAGGTAAGTTATAGTTCGAGCCTGCTATTGGTTGCCTATAATGGACTTCATGATGCGCGCTTGTGTGATGCAGCTGATATCGACCATGGTTGTTGTTGAAGTGTGATTGACATCGATTATCATGAAACTGGTATTTCAATGGTTCAGCATTCATTGGCCTATCTTGAGGCTTCGTAAAGTTTTCCTTCTGAAGATGCTGGACTTGCTGCTGGTGTTGAATGTTTCGGATTTGGACTACATTTTTTGCTGGATGTTTATTCATTTGTTGATGGTTGAACTGCTGATTATGCTGAATATTCCACTGTAGGATTGGGTTGATTTGATGTTTATTCATCTGTTGATGGTTGAACTGCTGATTATGCTGAATATTCTGTTTTACGATTGGGTTGATTGGATGTTTATTCATCTGTTGATGATTGAACTGCTGGTTACGCTGAATATTCTGTTGAAGGATGCCATTGTTCTCCTCATCTTGATGATGATGCTGTTCAACCTTAGCTTGAGCAGAATTTTCAGATTGCTTGGCAGTCTTGCTCTCCTTCCTGCAATTGAAGTCACAATTTGTCCAAATTATTATTTTTTTTTTTTTTGCAGGAAATAAGAGATATTGGATTGTAGCATATTTTCTTAGTACATGCTATCTAACAGAACTGGTAGCCTGTTCTTCATATATAATGAATTGAAAGAAGGAAATCTATTTTTGGAAAAACTATGATGCTAACTTGATGAGTGAAGTGTAAGAAGTATTGGATTTCCTTTAGTTGTGTTAACTAACTAGAAATAACTTGTAAAATATGAAATATATTAATTGTCGGTGGGTGCATTAGGAAGATATAATGATACCTTTTGATGAGACCCGTTTTTCTCATTTCTTTCTCTTTGATCCTAGTCTCCCTTGAACAGCGTGCAACAAAACCTCTAGAGTGTTTCTCTTGAAGAACTTTTCTTCTTTCTTCCTCATCGGCCCATCTCTGTAATTTAGGGAAATAAGGCAATCTTAATTCATCTTGTAGAAGATAAGGTTTGTGTAAATTAAATTGACTGGGGAAGTAATCTCAACTTTTGTGAACTCACCTGCCTCATTGTCTTAAGCCTGTAGAGGTTCCTTCCCTTAATTAAAAGGGGATGAAGAGGTGGCAACGGTTTCTCTCCAGTACTCCACAGAACTTCTATCTACACGTTAAATGTTGCATTTATATCAAATAACTTACGCCATCCAACATTTTATTATTCTTCTCTATGATAAGTTAAAGGAATTTACTGTGAATGTATGTTGTTGTTTGGCTGCTCCATAGCTTTCCTTAACGATACGCCCTATGACTACCCTAGTACCACATGGGGGACCTGTAGCACTTCTTGAAGCAATGCTGAACCTAGCATTATACTCAAGAAGAAGGATATTAATCGGTGTATTTGTACGGAAAATAACAAAGATACGAAATTATTGTGGATATAAGGACAAGAAATCTTACATTTCATAGACATTTTGTTCGAACATGACGATATCTCCAGTGCAGGCATCTCCTACAAGCAAGACAATTTGTCTACCTCAGAAATAGTAGTAACTTATAGAAATTTAATGTAGACAGGCATTGTGTATATATCTGCACGTCTGTGTGTGTGTGCATGCATGTGCGCGCACGCGCGTGTGCACGCTCGTGTGTGCATGTCTGTGTGTGTAGTTACTATTTAGTCAGAATAAGATGGTCCTCCCTGATGAGTCTAAGTAAAGAAGTATACTAAGAAATTCAGATATACTATTGAGCACGTATTTCAATACTGAGACAAAGCATACAGATGACTGTACTAGGTTATGCTTGTATCTTATGTTGAGAGAGAAATGAAACATAGCTATACCTTTGCAATTCAACACAAAGCTAGAGCGAGGGTATTTCATCTCTCCACCTCCATTTATTACCCTGAAAATTACAATCCTAGTTACTCAAAAATGTATGTTGATATACTATAAGTACATGCACATGCTAAAAGAATAGCAACGGAATATTACTCAAGATGCTCTTTGATGCGGTCAATGAGGATGCCTTTGGTTCCAGTTAGTCTCAACCCATATTTCCTCAAATAAACCTTACATTGCTCCAGTTTTAATTTTTCCAAATGGCCATCTGTCCCAGCAATAACATGATATTTGTTAGGATCAGGATATCAAATATAAAGAATTGTATGATAAGTCATCTTATGCAACCAGATAACTGAGAAAAATACATATGGTGTTGGCGGACCAAACAAATTTATCAAAGCACTACCATCAACAAATAATGAAATTAATTGGTTTCCTGTCAAGTGATGTTCATACTCTTCTCTCAATGCTTTAGAGTGATGGAAACAACTTTAAAATTTTGAATATCAAAGCGTCATTTTTCCTTTTTTTCTCCACACGATTCATCCTATAAAATGACGCTTAGAAACTATTTTATCACTTTGAGCTTCAAGTGCACTCAAAAGATACACCCCCAAGGAGAACAACCCAACATCTTGAAATTTCCTTTTCCTCCTCTTTAATAAAAATCTTCACCAGCTAACATTTTATGCCTTGTATAAAAAAAAGTAGAAAACACAATTCGATGGAATTACCCTTGATGAGCTCTTCTACCTTCTCAAAGCACTTCTCATCCTTCTCATTGAGCTCCGGAATCTCAACTGCAAATGACTCTTCACCGTCTTCACTTTCAAGATCCATATTTTTAGCTTTCCTGCCCAAAATCAAGGACACCCATCAGCCCAAAACTCAAACCCATCAAAACCCAACATTCATTTTCATTGAAAATCAAGAATCTAACAACAACCGAGGCCTAGATTTCTTGAGAGAAATCTTGGAAAACTTCGACCGAGTTTCTTCGACTATATCAAAGGTTGGATCCTCATCCGAGTCATCGGGAGAGCCGAAATCATCGAATCGAAACTCTCCATTATCTTCTTCAGGTATTTCTAATTCTTCTTGTGTTGATGTTTTGAGCTTGATATTGGCCATGAGATTGATCGGAAACTGATGGATTTGGGTTTAACAACCGTAAGGTTTAACAGATCAAGGAGATCTTTGCCTTGACCAAAAGGTCTTATAGATCGAGGAGATCTTGACAATACTTGGTCGGTGCACACCAGTGTATTGTACTGCTGTTCTTGAAAGCAATTTGGCCTTGGGATCCTTGCACCGGAGTAGGCCAAATATTGCTTTAAGCAGCGTTTCATAAATGCACAGTAGCTAAACTTGAAAAAGTTTAAAAATATAACACTTCAGCTATCTAACAAATTTACCTGTTTTATTCCAGATTTAGCCACAGGCGTCAACAGATATACTATAAGTACATGCACATGCTAAAAGAATAGCAAAGGAATATTACTCAAGATGCTCTTTGATGCGGTCAATGAGGATGCCTTTGGTTCCAGTTAGTCTCAACCCATATTTCCTCAAATAAACCTTGCATTGCTCCAGTTTTAATTTTTCCAAATGGTCATCTGTCCCAGCAATAACATGATATTTGTTAGGATCAGGATATCAAATATAAAGAATTGTATGATAAGTCATCTTATGCAAACAGATAACTGAGAAAAATACATATGGTGTTGGCGGACCAAACAAATTTATCAAAGCACTGACCTTTTATTCGAGACCATCAACAAATAATGAAATTAATTGGTTTCCTGTCAAGTGATGTTCATACTCTTCTTTCAATGCTTTAGAGTGATGGAAACAACTTTAAAATTTTGAGTATCAAAGCGTCATTTTTCCTCTTTAATAAAAGTCTTCACCAGCTAACATTTTAAGCCTCATATAAAAAAAAAATAGAAAACAGAATTCGATGGAATTACCTTTTATGAGCTCTTCCACCTTCTCAAAGCACTTCTCATCCTTCTCATTGAGCTCCGGAATCTCAACTGCAAATGACTCTTCACCATCTTCGCTTTCAAGATCCATATTTTTAGCTTTCCTGCCCAAAACCAAGGACACCCATCAGCTCAAAACTCAAACCCATCAAAACCCAACATTCATTTTCATTGAAAATCAAGAATCTAACAACAACCGAGGCCTAGATTTCTTGACAGAGATCTTGGAAAACTTCGACCGTGTTTCTTCGACTATATCAAAGGTTGGATCCTCGCCCGAGTCATCGGGAGAGCAGAAATCATCGAATCGAGGCTCTCTATCTTCTTCGGGTATTTCTAATTCTTCTTGTGTTGATGTTTTGAGCTTGATATTGGCCATGAGATTGATCGGAAACTGATGGACTTGGGTTTTTCTGGGGAGAGAAGAGGGAGATTGCGGTATTTTTGGGGAGATTTTATGTTTGGGAGATGACCGCTTTCGTCTGTATTTGAAATTTGAATTGCAATTTTTTGGGGCTATTTAGTGTTAGGGCCTATTTGGTTATTTCCTAAAAAAACAAAAAATAGAAATGAAAACCAAGAAATCTCAAAAAGTACAATTTCACACATTTTCATCCCTAAAACTCACCCACAATATCTAATAAAATATTATTTTTATCCAACAACTCATCCACCATATCTAATAAAATATTATTTTCATCCAACAACTCATCCATCACATCCACCACATCTAATAAAATATTATTTTCATCCACAACATCACTCAACTCATCTCATCTCATATTTAAAAATCATTCATATCATCCAATAAGATTATGACAACTCATCTCATCTCATTAACATTTCATTTCTTTGTTTTCCTCCCAAAAAAGCTAGGAAAATAATTTCCTTAAGTGTGGGTCACATCATCCAATAATATAATGAAAACTCATCTCATCTCATCTATTTTCTTATTTTTAAGAAATAACCAAACAAAAGAAAACAACCTAATACAAGAAATAGGTTTCTTATAATTCATTTTCTTATTTTTTCCGCCAACCAAACAACATCAAAACAAGTTTTTTTTAAAAATCACTCACATCATCCTATAATAATGTGACAACTCATCTCATCTCATCTCTATTTCTTTGATTTCCTTCTTTTTTTTTAGCCAACCAAACAGTCTCAAAACCTATTTTTCTTAGAAATAGGTTTTCTTTTCTTTGATTTCCCTCTTTTTTAGGCAAACAAACAGCCCCTTAGTCCCTCAAATAATAATTCCATATTAGTCCCTATCATCTCAGCAATTTAATGAAGAGGGATTAACATAGCTAGCCCAATCGGTAATCCGAATGACTAAATTATTAACCCGTTATATGAGTTTTATTTTAACCTTTATGATCATTTTTTGTGTTTGGGAATAACAAGGATTTTAACTATTTTCTTTATAATTAGAGGGGTTAGCTTTTAATCCTTCTAAATAGGAGAATTAGTAAACCTCTCATTTTGAGGGGTTAACTCATTTTAATCGCTCTAGAGGGGTTAGTTTAACATTTCTATATATTTTGTGTTTGGCAAATTATAGAGTGTTAACTCACTTTAACCCTTATATAAATTTTTTTTGTTTAGCAGGTTAAGTGAGAGGTTAAGAAGAGTTAAGAAGGGGTTAAATCTCATTAACCTCTCACTTAACCCTTTGCCAAACGGCACCTCAACGCCTGAGGGGTCTTGCGATTTGGTCCTTCCATACCTCTTAATTATGATTTCTCTCATAAAACTCATTTTGTTTAGAAAAAAAAAGGTTAGTTGCACTTTTGTACTCTAAAAATTACACCTTTCAACTCTAACACCCTAAAGTTTTTTGACACTTTACTACCGTAACTTTTACGTTTTTTTAAATTGATGCCTTAACCTTTTTTCCTGATGCTTTTGAAGTTTATATCTTCTTAACTTTGATGCCTAAAGTTTTATTTTTGACACTTTGATACCCAAAGCTTTAGGTATCATAGTTAAGAAATGTGTATATTTTGAGATATCAAAGTTAAAAAAATGTGAATTCTTTGGGACATGAAAGTTAACAAATGTATAAAGTTTGGTATCAAAGTGTCAAAAAAAAGTATGGGGGTATCAAAGTTAATAGGTGTAAACTTTAGGGTATCAAAGTCTCCAAAAAACACCTTGGGTCTTAGCCTCGATTCTAGGCCGGGTTATTAAAAAAAACCGAGACTTCTCTAGGTAAACATAAGGGTCTATTTGGCAAGAGGTTAAGTGAAGAGTTAAAAGAGGGTTTACCCTTCCTTAACCTTCCAAACGTGTTAAAATGATCAACGTACTAATCCTTCTGTTTAATCAGTCAATGAAAGTTCTGAATTTTTGTTGAATATAATTGTATAACTTATTTATTGTATTATTTGTGTTTCCTTTTCCTTTATAGATTGTTAAATTCACTTTTCTTGTGCTTGAAGATTACAGGTATTTCCTTCTTCTGTAGCCAACCAACAAGACAGCGGAAGAATGAGAAGAGGACAAAAGGGGAAAACCAAATCACAGAGAACGAAAGGGATTTAAATCCCAAATCGGAGAGAGCTGTGCTTTCTCAAAGCTCCGCCGCCAATCTCTCTGCCTTGCTCGCTCTAATCGGATTGTGAACAAGGGTTTCCCTTTTATAGGGAAACCTTAGGGTGAGGCGAGCTCCTCCTCCAGCTGGCTTCCACTCCACGCCGAGAATTTTGGACGAACACCAGAAGAACCCCACTAATGCCAACCAGGCCCAAAACAGCTGCACCATTATACCATGGCTACCTACGTACCCTCTGACTAGGATCAAGCTAATCGTAGTTCTGTCAAATGGCCGCCAACGGCCTCAACAATCATGAATGTGTAACAAGTTTCGATAATGATCAAACTTGTTACTCTGAACCACCTTTGTGAGCATATCCGTCGGATTATCCTTCATGTGGACCTTCACTATCTCCACATCTCCATCTTCAAGAACATCCCGAACGAAGTGATAACGAACGTCAATGTGCTTCGTTCTCGAATGAAAAACCTGATTTTTCGCCAAATAGATAGCACTCATGCTATCATAATGAATAGTGAAGGACTGCTGCGATATACCAAGTTCCTCCAAAAGTCCTCGAAGACAAATAGCCTCCTTAATAGCCTCCGTAATTGCCATATACTCTACCTTCATCGTAGACAAAGCCACCATAGACTGTTAGGTGCATCTCCAACACACCGGCGTACGGGTCAAAGTAAACACATACCCCGTAGTAGTAGACGCTTATCCAAATCTTCGGCATAATCCGAATCAACATAACCAATGCACAACTACTCACCTCTAGTGTCCCGCTCATAAACCAAACCAACATTAAGCGTACCTCTAATGTACCTCAAGATCCATTTCACGGCGTCCTAATGACCCACTCCAGGATCGTGCATGTATCTCAAAACCATGCTCACCGCCTGTGACAAATCTGGCCTCGTACATACCATCGTGTACATCAAGCTTCCAGCTGCGCTTGTATATGGAGTCTTCAACATCAACTCTCTATCTTTAACTGACTTTGGTGAAAGATCAGCTAAAAGCTTCAAATGGGCCCCCAAGGGTATACTAACAGGCTTCGTTTCCATGCTAACGTTAAATCACTGTAGAACCTTCTTCAGATAAGCTATCTGAGTCAAACAAATTCTATCATTCTCTTTGTCTCTACCGATTTCCATCCCCAAAATGCACTTAGCCTCTCCCAAATCCTTCATCTCAAACTCATTTAAAAGTTGTGCCTTCAACTCATCTATAGAAGACCTGAAAATAGAGGCAACCAATATATCATCGACATAAAGCAACAAATAGATGTATGCACCTCCTTTCAACTTGCAAAAATACACGTAAGGATCAAACTGGCTCCGAGTGTACGAATGACCAATCATAAAACCATCAAATCGCCTATACCATTGTCGAGGAGACTATTTCAAACCGTATAGCGATTTCTTTAACCTACAAACCAGGTTTTCCTTCCCTGCAACTCGGAATCCCAATGGCTGAGTTATATATATTTCTTCATCAAGATCACCATGAAGAAATGTCGTCTTCACATCCAACTGATCTAACTCCAATCCATACTGTGCCACCAAAGCTAGCAAAATTCAAATCGAAGAGTGCTTCACCACCGGAGAGAAAACCTCATTGTAGTCAATACCTTCCTCCTGTGCATAACCATTCGCAACCAACCTAGCTTTGAACCTCACTGGAGTGCCTTCAATGCCCTCCTTCTTCGTGTATACCCACTTGCAACCAATCGCCTTCCGCCCCTTTGGAAGCTGAACAAGCTCCCATGTATCGTTCTTATAAAGAGACTTCATCTCCTCCTGCATAGCTACCTGCCACGAATCAGCCTTCGAACTCTGCTCGACCTCTCTAAATGTAGTAGGTACCAACTCATCGATACTCTTTACCGTAAGTGCATACGCAACTACTGTGTCGGTATACCATGCTCGCGTTCGTATGTCTCTCCTCTATCTCTGAACCGTAATCGATTCCTGAACCTGAGCCGTCGGTCCCTGATCCTACACATCTGTACCCGTATCCACCTTGTCGTCATCGTGCTCGTCTGGCGTCACCTCAGTCGGCACTCTAATGGATACTATACCATCTGGATAATGTGGAGCTGTATCGATCTTCACCATCTGCGATATCTCTTTCATCGGGTCGCTCTCCACCTGATAAGAGATGGAAAACTTTAAGGTAGAAGCCTCATCGAACATGACGTCCCTACTCAACACAATCTTCCTATCAACTGGATCCCATAGCTTGTACCCCTTGATATCACGCTTGAATCCTACAAATATAGCCTTCCTAGCTCGATATTCTAATTTATCTGTTCTCACATGATAAAATGCAGGGCACCCAAATACCTTAAGCTGGTCATAGTCATGTGCTGACTTTCCCGACCACATCTCCATAGGGGTTTTCCCCCCAATCACAGATGAAGGTAGCCTGTTAATGAGGTGGCTCATATATGATAATGCCTCAGTCCAAAAGATCTTCTCCAAACCACTTTGCGATAATAAGCATCAGATTTTCTCCAGTAAAGACCGATTCAACCTCTCTGCCATCCCATTTTGCTACGGTGTATGACTAACTGTGAAGTACATTTCTATGCCCTCGTCTCGACATAGCTGCTGAAAGGGGTCAGAAGTATACTCACCACCGTTGTCGGATCGCAACGTCTTGATCTTTCTCCCAGTCTGCAGTTCAAATCTCTTCCTCCACTCCACAAATATATATAAGACTTCGCTCTTCTTCGTCATGGTGTACACCTAACAACGTCTAGAATAGTCATCTACAAAAGTGATGAACCAATATCGACCACCAAGTGATGCAGTCTTGGTGGGACCCCAAATGTCTGTGTGCACGTAATCTAGGATGTCACTCGTCCTATGAATGACAGTCTCGAACTTCACCTTCGTCTTCTTGCTAAGAACACAATGCTTACAGAACTCAATTTTTCCACTCTT